GAAATTTCTAAAACTTGATTTTGAGTTTTAAGAGGGGAATTCAAACCACATAAGTTCAGACAGAAAGACTATAAATGAAGTGGTATTTGCATTTCAACATTATTGAGTAGCATTTAAATTTCACATTTTTAAGTTTATTTGAAGTACTCTGTTGGAAAAGTCCTTGCAGCCTTTCTTTGCTTCCATACTGAGAATACCAAAACAATCTGGGTGAGGTTGTATTGGATATCAAATTACACAAACGCTGCTGTATTCCATTACTGTCTGCTCATTTGGGTGTGTGTGCAATATTTGCTGCATTGTGGTTCATAACTTTCATTGTATGCTATCAACTCTCTTCCAACCTCCCCTGTAACTGGCACTCCATCAAGTAAAGCTGAAATAAATCAAGAAGCTGTAATTATTACTACTATAACAGAACAGAGTTGTTGCCATTGCTGTTGCTACTGCTATGTTTTGTAGTCACCAGAAGGAGTGCGTGCGTGTGTGTGTGTGTGTGTGTGTGTGTGTTGGCTGCTGTTGCATTCTGCTCCCAGTGTCTGCCGACAGAGGATTAATCTCCCCAGCTGAGGCAGTAGCTAAGGTCAGCAAGGGAAATATTTCATAAGTGTCAGCTTGGCCCGTAGCCCTCAACCCAGAGTTCGAAATGGGAATGCACGGTCGCATAACAAACGGCCATGTGTGACTTTGCGAGGCATGTAGGGGTGGGGGGGCATGATATATGGCAGTGCTTCACTTTCATGTATTCATCTGAGCTGGTGAATTACTGCCAGGGACAAGCACGGTGCTTTGTCACTACAAGGACCCTGTTGAGACAAATATTTTGGCCACACGAGGTCTTGTCTGGAATGCGTTTTCCATTACCGCCTGTTCTCTAACTTTTTTTATTTAAGGAGAATTCATAAAACTTATTCCCAACTTCTGCTTCACCACGTTTAGTTCACTTCAATAAAACAGTTTGTTTTAAAAAACTAAAAAACACTGCATGTGTTGTTTTCCATTAGGCTTAAATTGACATTTCCCTGCATTTAATACTCTCACTGTTGCAGGTTTTTCTGCTCCTGCGGTGACCCAGGGTTGGCATGCACATGCAGAGAGATTAATGGCATGGGCGGGCCGCTTCAATAACCGTTTGTTTGATGTGTCGAGCCTGAAGGGCTCTGATTTACTTACACATTGATAGGCTTTTAATTGAGCAATGCCATCCCTTGTCACATCAAAGCGGTGGCAGCTGACATGACTGCCTCACTGCGGTTGCGATGATTGACATGCACCGCTGAGCCCCGCCCGTCCCATCCTTCGTCATCGTCCTCGGTTATGTTTGGCAGGAACTTTGTGGCTGCTACAACCTCCAGTAACTCCTGTTGTTTGTCAGGTCATGACTGCCAGAGGGAGATATCCCCACTTCTTAGTGGGGATATGTTTGAGTAGCTAAATTGAGCAACTCTCCTTTTCAAAACTTATTTGTTCTGCTAAAAATGTGTTGTGGTTTTGATTTCATGAGAAAAGTTGTTTCATAGATAGAAAGAAAGATAGAATGTGTGTTCCCAGCAGCCTCACTGTCAACAAAGATTGGCGATGAAGACACAGAGACGGTGACTCTGGCCATGAATGCAGGAAGCAGCACTGACTTTAACAAGCGTGAGGAATTTCTGCTGGGAAGATTTTGTTTGCACGGCTTGTTGTCGTTCCTTTTACCAGACCTTTTCACGGCTCCAGTTCGTGAATACCTTGATTGTGCCTCTATCAAAATGACCCCCCTCCGTCATCAGGCCAATGGAAAAAAGAAAAAACATCTTCTCATGTCATCTGAAATTTCACACAACAATGTAGGACGATCTGATTCGAGGCAGGCGCTGTCTGGCAGAGCAGGCCCGTTCTCCCTCCTCCTCCTCGCTCCGTGCACATGATAACTTCTCCGTGTGGAGGACAATGGCGGCTTTTGTTTCTGAGCGTGGAGAGGGGACTTGAGGTTGCACGGGTGTGGGTGGTGTGCAGCCTACGTGCCTGTCTGCGAATGCGTTTCAGGTGTAGCGAGTACGACAAGGCGGAACCCTGCGCGGTGTAGTTTTCGGAAATAAAAGTGCCAATCTGCGAACAGAGAGGGAAGCCTATTATCCCAGTGTGATTATAATGCAGACAGATAGACGACAGGTAGGCAGAGTGGATAAGAGCTTTAGCTTGCGAGACGTGATGAGCTGACAAGAGAGACAATCTCCCTCCTAAACTGGAGAGATAAGGTTGTCAACCGCAGCTCTGACTCTGACACACACAAATACACACGGACACACAAATATACTGTGTAGACAGTCAGATAGATGATACTGCATAAGAACTACCCAAACACACACGTTTAAGATGACATCTTGCACAGTATGGCCTGTCTCTTTGTGTTTGTGTGCACGGTTTACATTTTGTCGCGTGAGCGCATACACATTCAGCTGTGAAAGGATTAGTATGTGTATGTCTAAGACAGAGGGAGAGGCGACCGCAGAAAGATAAACGAGGAAGTGTGAATACATTAAGTACACTGTGTAGATATTGTTTGTGGACCTTTCAGCTCAAGGAAATCCTTGTTTCAACATTCTGTCCTGGCTGGAATGTTGCCTGCGAGGCTCTTTTTAAGTGTTTGGGTCTAAATGCCATGTCTGCTACACCCCATGAAACTGTCTTAATCCACTTTTTTTCCCTTGGTTTTATTACTGCTGGAGAAAACACTCGGGGTAGAGCAGAGTCCCAGCCTCAGGCCTCTATTCCCATTCCACACACCCCATAAGTCAGTCACAGATAATTAAATAGGAGTTATTTACCCTCGTTTTCCCTCCTCTGCCTCTCTGGCGCTTTTATCATTTCTCTCCCCTTCTCTTTGTACAGTACTACATGCAGCCAGACCTTGTCAAAATCTGGCTGACACCAGTGAAGGCCTGTAGAACTTGAAAAGAGAAAAAGAAACAAGACTCTCATGAGCTCACATCAATGTCAGCCCCTCATTAAACAATCACACGGAGCATCTACACAACGCTAATCCCCGTGTGTGCCACAAAACACCTCAGCACTTCCAAACAGAGCAGGAGACAAACGAGCAGACGAGGATTCGCTTGAGCCAGGTTTGAAGAATTCAGCTGCCTAATGTCAGCATTATATATTTATTCTGGAGTCAGGCAAACATCAGCCTTTCAACACAGGGATGAATTAGGCCCCGCCACAGAGCTATGGCGTCCATTACAGGCCTCAGCGGCTCTATAAATCACAGGATCACAGGGGCATGTGGGGTCTGCTCCTCCTCACTCCTCCTCGGGCTCTATCAGCCTCATCCTGGGGGTTTTGTTTGGCTGCTGTTTCAGTCAAACCCACTGCTTTGACACAGCCATGGAAAGGCATGGAAATGCCCGAGGGCCAGCGGGACCTGGACATGCTGAGAAGCCTCTTTAACGGGAAAGCTGTCCTCTTAAAATATCTACAACAGGAAACAGCCATCAGTCATCAACACGCCAAAACAGCTGTTACCAGCCTACATCAAGGGGGCACATGAAAGGAGTTGCTCCCTGTTGTTTGAGCCCTCCCTTGTTTCATTCTCTCGCTGCCTTTGTCTGGCTTTTCCCAATGCCCTCCTCTTTGGTCTCCTTTTATACGCCCCCCTCTTCCTTATTCAACTCCACCCACACTGCAGCGACTTACCCACTCGCCCTTTTAACAAGTGGATGACTGTGTGACAAACAAGAGCGCTATCGGAAACCGTGCAACTTAACTAGCAGTCTGAGTTGTAAAGAAATGTTTGAAATCCCCTTTAAGCTCTCGGCAATACTTTTGAATCTCGCAGTGAGGAAGCAGTTGTTGTGCGTCACCTGTTTACGTGTCTCGGCCCGAGGTGGTGACTGACAGTTTTAAACAAACAGACGGATTCAAAAGAAGAGTGTTCCGCACTTAGCCCGGCGGCATGCACGTCTGCGTTCGCATATTCTCGGGATCTCTGCAGGTCATTGAAGCGTGAGTGGCAGTGCATGGGCGATGAGTGACGACTAAGCCTAATGATGACGGGTTAAACAGTGATGCTGTTGAGTGAAGCTGAAGTGACTTCATCCTCCTCTCAGCTGCAGATAAATGGCGGCAGCCATTATGATCAGAGAGCAGGCTGGGGGCAACGCTTTGATAAGGCCAGCCTGTGTTGTTAAACAAGTTTACCTATTAAACCTCAGAAGAAAGCCTTGTTCAGATCTCTCGAGGCAATAATCAATGATCATTGACACTACTGACAACAGACAGTGTTGTAATATCTTTGATTATTGATCGGGTAATTCAAGTCAAGCCACAGGGGTTGCAACCAGGATGGAAATCCCCATATGGAACCCCTCGTAAATTAAGTTACTTGGCAACCGAGGACGAACTCCACAATCTTTTTGTTTCCTACGTTTTGTTCTTCTGTACAAGCTGGAGAAAACATTTAAAGTATTGCGTTGGTGCATCTGTTATACTTAAATTAAGACTTGAATAAAAACAACTTGTTTTTGGAGTGTGTGACTGTCAATGCCAACTGAAGATGTTACAGCAAAATACATCAGTTATCAGTCCCAGTAGTCGCAGCTATAATGCAATAAAGTGATTAACATACCATAAATTCTGGTTCATGAAGAGTAGGTTATTTTAATTTTTTGAATGCACCTATTTACAAGAAGGGGGTGGAGACCGACAGTTAATTCTCCATAGTTGTGGCTTACTGGGGTTAATAGTCTTTTGTCAAACCGTGTAAAATGTCACATCTATGATACAGTATTTATATTTGGCAGGTTTAGTTTGTATATGGCTTATGGAGGTCACTGACACATTTTTCACCCATAGCTCACATTGCTGCCTGGCTATGAGGGTGAGGCCAGAACACAAACCACGCCTCGTCACATTGCCCCGCCCCTGCTTATGAATGCGGACACTTGTGATTGGGCGGCGGCGCATTGCTTTGAAATCCCTCCCATCACGTCGTTAGTATGTGGAAGAAGTGAGGTACTGTGAGAGAGACTGCTGCAGAGGGACAGAGATACATACGCAGGAGGACCGTCACACACACACACACCAACCTCTGCGTGGATATTCCTTCTACTTCGTATTTTGATGAGCAGTGACTACCTATGGTGTTTTGTTTTTCTCTTTTCTTGCTCCATTCTTTCTTTTTCAACACTGGATGACGGGATATTTAGGAATAATTAGCGGGTGATATTGAAGAACCCGATAGACGATGACATTTGGGCAATTTGTTCCTCTTTAGAGACAGCTTGGGTCCGACGCGGAGGACGTGCACTGCGCAGCTACATGTCCTTCCGGATTACGGCACTCCCGTCTATTTAATGTACCATCATGAAACGTGCTGGTAAATAATTTTCAACACTGCGTCCACTCGTTACATGCCGTCATCCCTCTTCGAGCCTCGATCCAGATGAGAGATTCCCCCGGTGGACCTGAACCGCTTTTACGCAGACAGTCCCCGGAGCGCAGCGTCGCCGACGCCAGCGGTGATCATCACCGGAGAGGAGCGGAGAGACCGTCCGTTTCCATACTCACTTCTTGTCCTCCAACGGATCCCTTGCGTCAGGCTAAAAGGCTTCCTATCCAGATCGTAAAAATGTTGACGGCGCACGGCGGACACTTGCTGCACCCGGAGTATCTCCAGCCCCTCACATCCGCCCCAGTCAGCATTGAAGTAAGTTAATAAAAATAAATTATATTTACTCCAAGAACTGTTGGTATCATCTGATGTCGCTTTTCTTTCTTATATTAATCAGATAATATAATTCCATGGCGTAGTTTGAGTGTTACTCTTGACAAATTTGCCAGCATATGCGCCATTTTACGCACAGCGTTTTGTTGGCCAGCACCAGAGTTCCGAATGTAAATTACTGCAGATAATAAACCGTTTTTAATGTAATATTACCTGTTCATTTGACCGATATATTATAATGACATTTTTTCTTTCGAAATGTTTTGTTTTTTCTTTTTTTTTTTTTCTTTCTGTTTTTCTTAACTTGGCACCCTTGACATTCTTTGTTATATATACATAGTACACGGTTTGGCCATATATAATAAGAATACAATTTTGATGATTGCATATTTTAATTACAATAGAGTTTCTATGTCTTAAGATGCTTTAATTAAATCAAAGTATAAACAAACAGTTTGTTCACCGCCTTGCTCTCTTTTTTTCCTTCTCAGCTTGATGCCAAGAAGAGTCCTTTGGCTCTGCTGGCCCAGACCTGCTCTCAAATTGGCAAACCAGATCCCCCCTCCTCTTCCAAGCTGGCCTCCCTCTCCTCAGGCAGTCTGGGAGACAAGGAATCATCAAGCCGATCCTCCAAGTCTGGAGAGAAGCACCAGTCCCTGGAAGACAAGTCCAGCTTCAAGCCTTACTCCAAGTCATTAGGCGACTGTCGTAAAGACGTTCTGGGGACAAAGGGGACTTCAGATAAAGCAGCTTTCAGGGTGCCAAATGGAAGCTCCAGCAGTGTCACTGCTTCATGTCCATCCTTTCCTCCCCATTCCCAGTCACCCAGCTCCAGCCCTCCTCCCCTGCACACTCAGAGCCAGACCCACAGACAAAGCCATTCCCCCTCCACGCAGCCCCCGTCACACTCCCAGGCCTCGCACATGGACAGCAAAACTGGGAGCTCAGAGCAGTCCAGCTCGGACAGTAATAACAACAGCGCTGGCAAAAAAGACTCAGATGCAGCTAAGTCAGGGATAGATGGGGCTCAGTTAGCCAACTCCAGCCACATACGGGCCAGTGCCAACTCCAGCAATGCCAGCTCTGCCAGCAGCCCGCGGCCAGAGAGCAAAGCCGACTCACAGGTCTCCTCACAGCCTGGCTTGGGCTCCGGGCACATCGCCCCCGTCTCCCCTTTTAAACCAGGACATTCAGTCTTCCCTTTGCCTCCCGCTACCATGGGCTACCACGGCTCCATAGTGGGGGCCTACGCTGGCTACCCCTCCCAGTTTGTTCCCGGATTGGATCACACCAAGTCTGGTTTGGGGTTAGGACTTCCTGGGAAGCATCCCAGTTCCAGCCCGCTCTCTGGAGCCTCACCTCCATCCCTGATGCAGGGCTTATGTCGGGACCCGTATTGTCTGACTTACCACAATGCACCCCACCTAGGAGGAAGTAACTGCTCCACCTGCGTCCACGATCCCTCCAGCCTCAAGTCTGGTTACCCTATGGTTTACCCCTCCCACCACCTCCATTCCCTGCACCCCAGCTCCTTGTCTACCAACACCGCCCCCACCCTGTCCCACCCCCTCTACACCTACGGTTTCATGCTCCCCAACGAACCGCAGCCTCACGCCTGTAACTGGGTGTCTGTCGGAGGTCCCTGTGACAAGCGGTTCGCCACGTCAGAGGAGCTACTAGCCCACTTACGTACCCACACAGCCCTGCATGGGATGGTGGACAGCAAGCTGTTGTCGGCCTACCCCTCATCGGTTTCATCGACAGCCTCTTGTCACCTCCACCTGCCTCCACACAGCAGCGCGGGTACCCTGCCCAGCTCCTTCTCCCTCAGAGGCTCTCCTGGTTTGAGCCTGGCTCGCTACCACCCCTACAGCAAATCCCACCTGCAAGGAGCACCAGGATTTCCTATGACCAACCTCCCCTCCTCGGCTTATTACTCCCCCTATGCACTCTACAGTCAGAGACTGGGCTCGGCCTCAGCCCTTGGATACCAGTGATATCAGAAATAGTGTTGGCGCTCCCACAGACTGCAGGCACCAGCTTGGACTCTCCAGAGCATCCCCGAAGATGGATTCCTGACATCGGGGTCATCACCAATACAGGGCATCATGCCTGATGGCCTGCCTGCCAGGAATAACACCTGTTAGCCCTAGGATTGTGACTGGCGCTCTGAAGGCACAAGACCCCGTGATGGATTGTCTGTAGAACCAACAGTGATGGCAGAGCTTGAAAATAATGGAATTGTGGGATTATTACAACAGTCTTGATTTTGGTTTTTATTTAGTTTTTCTCTAAATCTGTCTCCCAGAACTGAAAGTCTGTATTTATTTTTCACTCAAGCGCTTGGTATTCAACTCTGAGGGGGGGGGGGTTTGCTGTCCGAATAAATTGTTCTGAAATATTCTAACTGAAAGAGAATGATATAAGTATAGTACCATTCTGCCTATCATACACTCTAAAAATAAAAACCTTGCACCACGATGAAGATGGACTGTGAAGCTTTATTCTGGGGACCTCTTTTCATCTTCTATCCTCTCTTGTGTTGGTATTTTTTTCTGCATCTTATTCAGACTCTGGAGAATTTGCATGTCCATGAGAATTTACCGTATTTGTAAATATGCAAAGATGTAATATTTTTTCAAGCTTACTTGGCAGCAAGTTGGGGTCACAGACGCAAATGGTACAAAGATTAGAAAAGATGATGGTGGCTGTGCTATCCAACCAACAGGAAAAGGTCTTATTTTGTTAAATAAATGATACATGATTGCATTTCACCTTGTTTTCTTCCTTATTGTTTGCTTTAAATAGTACCATGAAGTAGCTTTTTTTGTCAAAGCGGGAGAGGATGGAATAAATCTCGCCAGGCTACTGCACTGCACTTATCTAGGTCTATCTATCATTATGGCTGTTACTGCCACGCTATATGTGGCTGTGTGTAATAATTCATGGCTCATATCAGTTGACAGGGCTGTCCCAAAGAGGGCAGGCCGGGTCACATTAGCCCTGTTAGCTAGTCTCTGAGGACCTCCATCCCTCCTCCTCTCTCCATCACCCACATTGCTTTTGTTGTTGGGAGTGCAGCTTTTAATTGCTGATTCTTGTTTGTGAGGTATGAAAACAGCCTCCTCAGCAGAGTGGATGACTGTGTGGAGTGGCCGCCGGGTCACTGGGACCTCAATAATGACCTGAGGGAGGTGTCGACCCAGGATCCCCTCACGGTCTGACGGATTGGTCTGCAACACAAAGGCCAGGGCTGACAATGGGAGGCGGTTAATAGAGAAATATTCATCAAAGTCCTGACATCTCCCCTGAGGAGAGCGGGCTGTCTTACAGGAACCGCAAACATGGAGGCCTCCCGTCCTGATGTGAAGAGCCATTTTCTTGCTGCTCTCCGCTGCGCTGTGGTTTAACTGAAGTCAGCGTTCTCGACTCAGAGCAGTTAGATACTAATTCAAGGGGAAGGAGTCGGTCTATCTCAAAGCCACACCGCTGCCATTAGAGTGTTTCGGCTTCGATAATGTTCCTGCGTCTCCACTCTATTTGGCTGTCAGGTTGTAGGTGGCACAGAGCGAAGAGGCTGCAATCTCCGAGGCGGCTATTGACCCCGACTCCCAGACTCCTCTACTCTCGCGGTTCATTAGCACTCCAGACAGGGGAAAGGCGAGCACAGGTGTCACTTGACAGGACCATTAACAAAATGGATGACCCTCCCAAACCACATCCAGCCCCTGCCACACCAGCAAGGTCACGGCGCCCTGATCACCACTTCGTGTAGCTCTCTGGGACGATACACTTATTATTATTCTTTAGGAACTGGAGCCATGTGCTTCTCTGGAACAGGACAGACTTACTTTCTTGTTGCAGTGTTTTCTTTATGATGGAGTTTATAAAGTAGTTTAGATAAAATAGGTCAAGGATATTCTGGTTCTAATATATTGCACATATTTCTCTGTAACTTGCAGAGTTGTGCCACTACAGATTCACTGGATTGTGTTGCCCCCTAAAGTTGTGTTGGTGAAGTACAGGTGGAATCTGTGTGAGAAGGGCAGGTACCTCTCTTACACATAGGGTAAAACAATACATCTTACAAACTGCAGATAGAGAATCGGTTACATTGGCTTGAATCTGAAGATGATTCACTCTGGAGGTCATGCAGAGGGGAGAACCTTCAATCTTGTCGGGGAGGAGGAATTAATTCCACTGTTGCCAGTTTACACTCGTTCATCAAATGCCTCACCATTCTCCCTTTCCCTGCGCTCATCAATCTCCTACATCTATCTTCCCCCCACACACACACACACACACACACACACACACACACACACACACACACTCGCAGCTGAGTCAACACCCACACACTACATTTATGTCGCCTGTGTGAGGCTGTCTGTGAAAGTATGTGTATGCAGCCTCAATCCTTTGTCCACGGACGGTGGCACACGTGAGGCTGAAGAAGTTAAAATGAAGGAGTTACTATCATCTCAAAACATTTCTGTCCATCACTGTGGGTACATATTACCAAAATAAAATGCAATTGGTATGTTTTTTCTCACACAAATAGAAAGATATTCCATCGGCACAAAATTACATGGTGTACAGTACATTTTCACCCACTTCAGGGGTTTTATTTAAATAAATCAAAATAATAAAAATCAGCAGGAAGTGGAATTTCACTTGTCATAAGTAAGACTCTTCACCTCATAATTATTCAAAAGAAGAGTTTTACATTTTGGGGAAAAAATCCAATCAGCCTTCTTGCCAAACACGTTTTTTAGCCTAAACCTAAACTTCCTCTAAAAAAAGTAACTATGATTGCGTGCAAAATTGCATACGATGCACTACATACTCTATATGAGTACTATCGCTCAACATATATAAATAAGCAGTAATAAGTATATTTTTCGGATGCAATGCACTGTAATTATACCATTACCTGAGACCATAGTAACCCATGACAACTTCATGTGACAAAACATTAATTTGAGAGTATCATGAAGTCTGAACTAATTTTAAGAAATACATTACTCCAGGTAGAAGTGAAATCTTTCACTTACACTTCATTTGAAGTGTTATTGACCCTACAGAGCTGTCCACCACGTCTGTTAACATTAACGTTGTTGTCACTACCGCATTGCATTGTGGGATATTAATGCTGGCGTAGTGTCCAGTCTTTGCATACTGTAATTTTTCATAAATGGCATGCAATGCCCATTCTATTGGTCTATTGGTTTTCTACTATAGTGTCATATATACTAAAACATCTCACATACTGTTTTAGCTTACTAAATACTATGTTAGTGAGGAATTCTTTATTTGTATTATATATATATATATATATATATGTGTGTGTGTGTGTGTGTGTGTGTGTGTGTGTGTGTGTGTGTGTCAGCCTGGCTCTGTCCAAAGCTATCAAAATCCATCTACCCATTTTAAAGCTCACTAATTAACAGTTAGAGATAAAGTAGCAGTTACGGATAGTGTTAGTCGTTTGGTGGTAGCAATAGTAACAATAGCAATAGTACGAGAATGATATAGTGGTAATCAGACAAGTAGCAGTAGTATCAGTAGAGATGGTGATGGTGATGGAGTGGACTAATATTTTCCCCTCTGTGCGCCAGTGCAGAGACGGTGCAGAGTGCCACTGTGAGGTCCTGAGCAGCCGGCTGACAGGCCTGGTGATTAATGACGACAGGGTGTGGAGCTGCTCTTCAATTAGACGCCAGCTCTACCCCAGCTCACCATTCCTGCTGACAGCTAGGACAGAGAGAGAGAGAGAGGAGAGGAGTCTCTCTCTCCCTCCCTCTCCCTCTCTCGCTCTCGCTCTCGCTCTCTCTCTCTCTCTCTCTCTCTCTCTCTCTCTCTGTGTCTCCAGAACAAAACATTAACCTCAACTCCATGACTACCACCTCTGTGTTTAACATCAGGACACAATACAGAGCCTTCGGCATCCAACAGTGGCCGCAGTGTTAAAGCATCCCAGATGGCGTGAACACATCCCTCATCAGGGCCAGTCACACAACCTCTGTTTTATTTCCCCACACAAACCCTGTGACTGACTATTTTACATGCCTGCTACAACTCCTCTTCTCATTTACGGCTGCAGTCAGCGATGCTGCACTGCTGGCTGTGAAGACAATAGCAGACTTCCAGGTTGTTGAGCAGGTTGTGTGCTGGTTTGGAGCAACTTTCCCTCACAATTACAAGTAGCCTGCAATAATGTTCTCTTGATTAGAGGATTAATGAGATGATGATCAGAACTTAACCTGCTTTTTATTTGTGTGGAAACTCGTTCCAGCATTTGGCGCTCCAAGCTTGCAAACGTCCCTTCAAACTGTTGTTACTACTTTCTGTCAGGGAAGGAATTAAAGGTTTGTACAATCCCCTGGGCTAGAAGGGTGACTCAGTGTGTATACTGTAGATATAGATATACAAGTAGATTCAGGTTACTATAGCCCGCATACATATGATTACTTTCTCATAAAAGTTATGTGGATTTGAGGTTTGTCAAAGCAAACTAGAAGGCACGGAAACTGAAGCATAATGGTTCATGTTTTATTGCCTTCTTGAGCGTAGAAAATAGCATGTAACAAGCAGCCACGTTGTATGTACCAGGTTTGACATTTTCCCACCTGAATGCATCATGATTGTTCAGTAAAAGAGGTTAGAAAACAACTTTGAACTTATCACATCAATTATCTTGTTCTAAGCACGGTTGTTCTTATGTGATTATGAAAAATGAGAGTAGGTGAGTGTCTACTGGCCGACAGAGAACACTGTGAGGCACTTACAGTGTTACGTAGGTTAACATACTGATTCAATGTTAGAAGCACTACAATTACATAGTTCAACATTTTGGGACAGTTAGCTGAGAAGACTCATAATTATCTATCAAATATGAAGCTAGCAGCTGGTTAGCTTTTAGCTTAGCATAAAGTGTTGGAATAGGAGGATACAACTAGCCTGGGTCTGCCAAACAATAACTAACAGCACCTCTTGAGATCACTAATTAAAACATTAGCCTATATCTTATTTGTTAAATCCATTAAAAAAAAACAGTTTCCCCCTGTTTCCAGTCTTTACACTAAGCTAAGCTAAGCTAAGCTAACTGATCCCTGGCTGTAGCTTCATATTGAAAGAACAGATATGAGAGTAGAATCAATCTTCCCGGCAAGAAAGTGAATAGCGCGTGAAGAACTTGATGTTAGCAAATTTGAATTAAGGTGTCACTAAATATATAATTTTACAGATATCAAATAAAAAAAAAACCTGTTCACCTCAGGCACATAAACAAATATTAACAAGGCAATTGTCACTAGTCTTTATTTTCACTGTTGTCAACGTGCACGTTCTTCAAAACTCAAATTATGTGATTATTTTAGCAATTATTCTATCCAATGACTGCAATGCCATCCTTTCAGTTTGAAGGTGAGCTGCCTCACTTTGTTAAGTGTTATGTGTTAAGCAGCAGTGGTGGCTGATTGCGTATCAGCCATTATACGTGACCTAAAATCAGTCATCAAGGACATTGACAGCTCTGTGACAAAGTTACAGCGCTTGTAAATATTGAGGCAATAAATGATGATGCTGCGGTTTACAATAACAATACTGTATTGTAATTATAGTTTTAAAGCCTTATTATTAGGATTTTTAACCTTTAAGCTTCAGGGCTGAAATATGTTGCAACACCTGTGTGCTTCCTTTTAGACCTTCAACGGCAACAACCGTTTTAGACAACTTTTTGGCACTGATCCTGAAAAGGTTATTTACCA